CCCTGCCAGAGCCCACACCCAGTAGCCAGCACCCTAACCCCCCTCCTGCATCCCAATCCCCTGCCCCAGCCCACTGCCTGCATGTAGTAGCCAAACTCCCTCCCAGAGCCTGCACCCCTCCCAGACCGAAACTCCCTCCCAGAGCCTTAGGCAGTTGGGGGGGAACTGGACCTATTCTGGGCATCACCAAAAATTATACACCCCTGCCTGGGGGAGAGAGGAGCTCCACCCTCCATTGAGCCCTTGGTTTCTCCTCTGAGACTGATGATAAGGGGGCCAATCAGCACAGAGGTTCATGGAATATTAGGGTTGGAAGGGACCTCAGGGGGTCATCTAGTCCAACCCCCTGCTCAAAGCAGGACCAATCCCCAACTATTTTTTTTGCCCCAGATCCCTAGATGGCCCCCTCAAGGGTTGAACTCACACCCCTGGGTTTAGGAGGCCAATGTTCAAAGCACTGAGCTATCACTCCCCCAAGTAACATCAAGGAGTCCTCCAAAGAGATCTTGGGGAATAGCTCATTGCCTGACCAGGGACTTGATCCCTGGACCCTCAGATTAAAAGTCTGATGCTCAACCCACTGAACTAGCCAGGCTGATTAGTTACTAGCTATGTTTATGTATGACGGGAGACCTGCCCCACTAGGGACCAGGCTGAGATCCCAGCACATTCCAACCTTGCCCCTGAGCAACCACATACGGACTTTCAGCCACTGTCCACATAGGGTCGATTTGGCCTATTAAACCTGAGCCAACCAGCTGTGGGAGCTGCTGGGGAGGAAGCAACTTCGCCAGCTTAGAATCCAAACAGACTCTTTTTTACTGTATTTCCCCACCAGATCAGGAGCAGGGACTGGCAGAGATTGTGGGTGAGGGAGAGATGTTTGTTTCTCTGTTTCTCATCTCTTCCTCCCAAGGGGTCTGATTAGAAGCAGTGGTCACAGGTGGAGAAGTTTCTCTAGGGAACACAAACAGACCAGGAGAGGGGAAGGGCTGTGGGCAGCTGGGCCCTGAACACACAACATGACTGGGCATTCAGAGGCAGCCTGAGCATTGTAGATCAGGCCTGAGGAAAATAATCTATTTTCAATCTCACCATGTTCTCAATTCCTGTCTGCTGTGATCAACCGAATCTGCACAGGGCTGGCCCAGTGATTGTGGGGAGGGTCAGTCAGAGGTTTATTAGACAAACTTTACTGATGTATTGTCCCTGCGTGTATCTTTGTCTTTATCCTTCTGTGATGGGGTGTGTATACCCCATGCTAGGCAAGAAAGAGTTAACCCAACACTATGGATGGTGGAAGTCGCACCCCTCACACCATGCTGGGTATGTGCCAAGTGCTGCCTCAATGTAAAAGGGAGCGGCCCAGCTCATTCGTGGCTGACCACTGAGGAGGGAGGACATGTGGCGAAGGATCCTGCCCAGGAGTGGACTCAGAAGCTTAGGGAGCTCCCTTCACTGAAGAGCTCGGAGACCCCGATGACATAAGGAGCCCGGCTTCAGGGGACACGGTAGGAAGTGGCCCAGGGAGGTGGGGTGAGTGGTATCTCCCACCCGAAGAAGGCCAGCGTGTTGCGGTAGGACCCCTGCTGACTGGAGGGTGACCGCACTCACTGCTGACTGGGCCTTGGACCAGGACCCGGTGGAGCAGGGAGGTCTCAGGGCCCCCGATCCCGGCAGTCACCTCCCCATCCCCTGGCCACTGGGTCATGCAGCTCTCAGCCTAGGGATAGTTGGGTAGATTGTAACAGCGGTAGCATCACAACCATGCCCTGCCCCAAAAGGGGATGGGTCTTGCATACACCATGACACCTCCTTTCCCAGGCTCCTAATGCAGACAAAAAGTCTGGTCTGGTGGTTTAACTCTTCACTTGGAAGACGGAGGTTCAATTCCCTGCTCTATAACAGTCTTCCGGCGTGGCTTCAGGCAATCACTGCTCTGCTCTGCGTGTTCCTCTCTTTGAAATGGGGTCACAGCACTTCACCACCTCGTAGCAATGTTGTGAGGCTAAACACATGGTACAGGGATGGGAGGCAGATAAGGACCTTCAATAGTCAGAAGTGCAGCCTTTTCTTTTCCACATCAAATCACATTGGGGTTGCCACAAACTCATGATTTCAACTTGAGTCATTCAGTACCCAGTGTGTTTCCTAAATCCCCAGCTCCTGGAATCCTGTGATGCCATGAGTATCTCAGCTCTCATTTGAATAAAATGGGAAGCTTCTTGGGCGCATGGCGTAGTAGAAACGGTTGAGAACATGACCAGAGTTAAACTTCATCACTCAGAAACAAAAGAAACAGTTTGTTTTCTGGCCTGAGTTCTCCAGCTAAGGTCTAAGAACCTAAATATAAAAATAAACATTTTCCTTTCTCTTTTTAGATAAAGATTAAGATCTTTTCCCTGCTTCTGCAGGCTCAGCATCACAGGGGGACACGGATGCTCCTGTCAAATCCCACTGACCCTCCACACAAGCTAAAGGGCTGATTTCAGGACCAGAGCCTTAGTGGTACTTTTTTCACTAAAGCCTCCAGGGCTGAAATTCACAATGGGCTTATTCCTGCTTAACCAACAACACGAGTCAGTTCCAGGAAGGGAAACACCCAGTTGTTGCTGCAGGTGGGGCATAGTGTGAACTCAGAAAATTGAAACATACGTTGTAACCATGTTCCACTGCCCAGAGAGAGCCATGGCTGCAGAGAACCCCGTGGAAAGTCTCCAGGAGGAAGCTACATGTCCCGTCTGTCTGGAGTATTTCACAGAACCTGTCACTCTGGAGTGTGGGCACAATTTCTGCCGAGCCTGCATCAACCAGTGCTGGGAGGGATCCAATACAGCCGCCTCCTGCCCTCAGTGCAGAGAAACTGTGCAACAGAAAAACCTCAGACGCAACAGGCAGCTGGCAAATGTTGTAGAAATCGCCAAGCGGCTGAGTTTACAGGCAGCAAAGGGAACAGGACGGGATGGGGTGTGTGGGGATCACCAGGAGACTCTGAAACTGTTCTGTGAAGAGGATCAAACCCCCATCTGTGTGATCTGCAGAGAGTCCCGGGCTCACCATGCTCACACTGTGATTCCCATACAGGAAGCTGCCCAGGAGTACAAGGTACAGAGTTGCTGTCCAGTCTAATGGGTAATAACTTAGGCTTTTAATTACAGGTTAATGGCATCACAAGTTGCCCAAGACAGGTGTAACTGTGTCATTCAGCTCTGTGTAGCCTTCATTGCATGAAAGATGCTGTAGAAATAAATGATACTCCAGCCTGGCAGGAAAGGCAACAGAGGAGGATTTTAAATTTGTCTGATATGGGAAAGTTTTCTCTGAGCAGCTGAATCCTTTTCAAATCCAGCTTCCACCAGTGAACTATGGGAACTACAGACTGGAAGTTGTTAAATGATCAGTGAGGTTTGATCAGAGCTGCAGGCTAGTCTATGTGAGAGTTCTGCATTCAGACTGGAGAAGGGGGAGTTACATGCTATGGCTGTTATTACTGATTTATCATAGAGTTTATAATTGTTATTTGCATCCCAGCAGCCCCTACAGACCCCAGATGAGATCTGACCTCAATTGTAGGGGGCCCTGCACAAATCCCAGTGAGGGACAATCCCTGCCCTGGGCCATTCACAGTCTAACTGGACAAGAGAGACAAAAGGTGGGAGGAGAAACCGAGGCTGAGTGAGGGGGAGTGACTTGTCCGAGGTCATTTAGTGGGTCAGTGGCAGAGCTGGGTATAAACTACTTTTCTAAGGCCCAGTCCAGCATCCTAAGCACTAGGCTATGCTGACCCCCTCAGCAGCACTGAGCAGTGATGAAGTGCGGACAGCGGGAGGAAAAGACTCCTTGATAAAGGCCCCAGGCTCAGCAGGGAGAGTAAGTTTCCCACTGGGATTCTGAACTCCTGTGTTGCTCCATGAAGGGTTAAACTCAGATGCTGCCGGCCTGCGCTAGAGGAGGTCACTGGGCTAAACGCCATGTGAACTCCAAGCATCTTGAGTCCACACACAAAAGGGCTACAGACAGCTCAGGTTCATGCCAAGAACCACTGGGATTTCACTGGATTGTAGCAAAACTAACCACAGGCTGGAGCTGACCAGTGTCAGTCTGAACTGTTCTAGTGTGTACGTGGGCAAGGACAAGCCAGAGTGGTTCCTTTAGTCCCATAATGCAGCTTATGCAAATCTCTCAGAATCCACTGCTTCCGGGACCTTTGCTGGGGATGGTGGGGTAGCTACCTACAGGCCATTGCCACGGAAAGGGGCTAGGACAGCGCTAGGGAAAACCCCAGCTGTTCCTAACACAAATCAACACATCTAATGGGGTTTGCCCTAGGCCTTCGATCAGTGTCCAACCCATCCCATCCCCAGGGGTACAGGGCTGAGAGTCAATGGAGTTGGGTTCTTTTGAGCATTGCAACCTATATGGCTTCCCCGGCGGCTTCTGGGATTGATATCACTGTTTCTTAAATATTCACCACCATGTGAGACCAGTTTCCTGCCAATTTAAATCAATGGAGAAAGTGGACGTAATAACTCAACTCTGAATATAAAACACTCCCAGTTTCCATTAATAAGGTTTCATTTCCTTGGTGTCTCTGATGTTCTACATCTAGAAGAACCCACTGTTGTACACAGTGTTGTTGTAACTGTGTTGGTCCCAGGATATTAGAAAGACAAGGTAGGTGGCTCTCCGAGCTGTGGTCAAGTGAAAAAATTCTCTAAGTTATATCTGCTCATGGCCAGCTTCTGTGGGTGAGTGACAAGCTTTCAAGCTTACACAGAGCTCAGGTCTAGGAAAGAGTATGTTCCCCAGAGCTGAGCTCTGTGTAAGCTGGAAGGCTTGCCTCTCTCACCAACAGGAGTTGGGCCAATAGAAGATGTTACCTCCCCCACCTAGTCTAGCTAGGAAGACTGACATATCTTGCATTTTAGGTGGGAAAATGCCCCCTACAAACAGACAGTCAGCCTCAAAATAAACCCACTAAATCATTTCTGTTTGTCAGGAAAAAATCCAGGCCCATTTGCAGACCCTGAGGGAAGAGAGAGAAAAGCTGCTGGGATTTAAAGAGGCTGTAGAGAAGAGAAGCCAGGAGTATCTGGTAGGTGCCTGTTGTTCTTCACCTGCTGGGACATGGAGATGGGAGGGTTGTTTGCTGGTAGATTTCTCTGTGGCCTTGGTGAATGTGGGCTTGTGTGTGTTTCTCCATGATCATGGGATACTCTAAGTGTGTGTGTGTGTGTGTGTACACAGGTGTGTGAATCACAAATGTTCTCTCCCCGGAGAAAGACAACAGCACCTTCTGCAGCATCTAAGATGTGGCTTAATTAGTGAGTTAATTACTATTCCTTATGGTGTTCACAAAACTTCTCCCAGACTACACTGATTATATCCCAGTAGCTCCAGCTGGAGGCCCAATGTCTACACTGCTGTTGTTGGTGTGGTAGCGTGAGCTGCAAGAGCCTGAGTGTTGCCATGGGCTTGGAGGCTCGCTACTGTTTAGATGTACCCTCTGAGGCCATTGGACACAGTGTCCGAACCACGTCAGACATGGAGACATCCCTTTAAGAGACATTGGGGCCAAATGGGAAGCTGTAAGAAAATCCTCTCCTGTGTGATGAGAACATAGAGTCCAGTGCCACAATG